CCAATCGTTTTTTTATTTTTTTTTAAATCTTTATTGAACAAGTCAGGATACAAATCTCAGGAAACAGAAAAGGCGCTAATCCAATCACCGAAAGCGCACGGCCAGTCTCGACGTAAGGCCTTCTCGCTAGCCCAAGTACGCAGACGAGAACAAGTCAGGATACAGGATACAATCAGATCACGAGTCTCAGACTCGTGATTTGATTGGCTCTTGAAACCTGACTGTGCCCGTTCACTTACAGTGCACAGGGGCCTGCTCTGTTTAATCTGAAGGCCCCGAGCAAGATTAATTTACCGGGCAACGCAAGCTAGCTGATTATTTATCACACACAGTCTTTGTACCCATCAAGCGTGTTCATGCATAAATAACATTGAAAGCCACTCAACTAAGTGGAAATAATATGACGTAAAGAATACAGAGAATAATTTTGTTTACATATTTATGAAAATAAAAATACATAAATCATAAAATAACATAAAATACATAAAAGTAAATTTACTTCTCTGAGAATGTTTAGGCCAGCAGAGAAGGCCTTGCTGGCCCTGAGGGTCCGCCACTGGCTACAATAAGTATTGATTTGAAATAAAAAGTTTGCTCCACATAGCGCGTTTTCTTCTTAGTACAAGCACTGTGTAAATCAATAGAGGAAACTATTTTTGCTGTTGAATCTAAATTCTTAAATCGTGTGCATGTGAATGTGTAGCCCTATGGGAGTGCGATTTTACTATATACCTCATGATATCACCGACTGTATCTTCAATTAGGTACGAAATAGTCTACATACTGTCATGTTAATGCTTGATTCATATAAGTATGTAAGACAACCTTGACTGTATTTTAATTAGTGCTGAATATTTTACATATCCTCATGTCAATGCCTGATTCATACAAATTAATATATTTTGCTAGAACAATCTACTTTCACCCTTCCTTGAACAGTGTATCGTCACAATTTTTAAAAATCCATTTCATAATGTTGAATCTCAATTTTTAAACGTGTGTATGTGATTGTGTGTAGGTCTAGGGGAGTGCAAGGTATTTATATACTTTTTTATATTTCATGACACACTTGGGGGGAGGCTCCTGCAAAATCTCGTTGTAACAATTTTGTGTGCTGCTTATTTTCATTGAGCTAAGTTCCTGGGTATTCACAAAAATTGCCTGGAAAAACGATTTTCTACGTTTGTACCTTACAATTCAGTCTTTACACTTTTCTTTTAAACAGGAGTTCAATCAATACTTACACTTTTATTTTTAAACATAATTATCTGAACTGCAGAAGTATTTCTCACCTCTGGAGTTATGCATCACGTACAATGTGGATCAATACACAAGTAACGAAGGAGTCGACTATAAAACCTAATAATACATTTTAAAATACCTTTTTT